CCCCCCCACCCCCGTAAGAAAATTGATTTTTTTCAGAAAAATCGATTTATAGATAAGCACATTTTCTGAAAGCTCAAAGTGTCCTATTTCAAATGATGTGCTTTGTATTGCACTTTTGATGGTTTTTGAGGGTGAAAATGACAGTTTTCTGGGAGCACTAGTAGAAATTTTCCTTAGTAACCGGATGTCACAGTGGTCGAAAAACTTAAAACGGTTCCAGAGGAGAAATACATATAAGTTCTGTTATTTTTATTAATTAAGCAATATGGCTGATTCTCAGAACTAGACTTTTCGAGTCATTTTCTACCAAAAATTGCAGTATAGGGGTCGTGACAGTCATAGTGAAATTAAAATTGTTTCATATTCTCATTCAATTATGTCAATTAAAAAAGAGAATTTTACGCTGATTTCAAATATATATAACAATGATTCATTTTTTCATATTCAGGCCCATTTACACATCTCACAAACTTGTTGATTCGTTTTCTCAAATCACTTTTTCGGAGAGTTCGGAACCGATTTCTCCGACTGTAGAAGAGGTAGCGAGCTGCCGTATTTTGCTGGGTTCTTTCCGAACTTTATGGGGATTTTGAAAATTTTTCTGGATTTTTTCTGGGTTTTTGAGTTCGCTACCTGACAGTACTGGCTAAAACGTTAAACTGGAAACATTAATACACATTTATATAAAAAAATGCATTTTCTAAAATCTCGCTAGGGGGGCTCAACAACTGTTTGGGGGGACTGAGCCCCCCCCCCCCTACACCCCCTGGCTCCGGCACTGTTGTCGAGATAAATTGATAGCACTGATGCCAGAAACCACTAAGTTAAGAGTTGCTGCACGAAAATGTTTCGGAAATACGAACGAAATCGAATTTCGAAAAAACGGTATATAAATTTCTAGATTCAGGTCTTCTCTTTGATTTAAAACAAACCCGAACTTTCTACCTCTTCGGCAGCCCGAGAACTCGGTACCTTACGAAGGCCACCATTTTAAGGACTAATTTGTCAATAACTTGTTGACACAAAAATCTTATGAATTAAAAATTTGCAAGAACTTAAGTTGAGGCAAAACACACATTCCCTGAAAATTTCAGCCAGATCGGTCCACGAATAACGAAAAATGATTCCTGAGGGGGGGGGGACCCTTAATAGGATCATCTATGGATTTTATCTACTTAAACATGTACTCTTATTCTTTTTGTTATAAATTGATATACACACATAGGTCACAATCTAGGTAAACATATGCTTTGTTTATCTATACAAAAACAGAGAAAGAGAGATATTAAGATCTTGGAGGCGGTGTTACATTATTACAGGTATTAGATTATTTTTATTCAGTTTTGGCTCATTTTCTATCACATACACATTATAGGAACGTCTCCACTTTTAATATAGTTCGATACTACCAATTCGTTTTCTATTTTTCTTCTGTACTATTTATTCACTCGTTCGTCTTCGATATTCTTATTCTTATAGGCTAAATAAATAGGTGATCGTTCGTTTCAGTACACCAGACGACGATCTAGTATACAGTGCACTTCATTTTGTCTGAAAGATATAGACACTCATATGTATCTACTAAAACCTCTTTGATTTATTTGTAGTTTATCAAGTTAATAACTTCATTGAATAAAGATCTAGATTATCCAAACAACATCGATATATTTATTCGGATAAATAAAATATTTATTTTATGCTTTATGAATAGATGATTATGATCGAGATTATCATTCATCGCAACGTAGTAAGTTGTATATATTTCCAAATGAGAAAGCTTCTATAAAAATGTTTTTCTAGCTCAGAAAAGTCGCATAAATGAAAGTTCATTCGATTATTCTTCAACTGGAATAATCGATAAAAAAAAATCATCTCGTAATGGACAAACTGATAATAGTTCCTAATATGCTGCACCAAAAGCTCTATCAGATGTTGAGAGTGATAGAGAAAGAAAAGATTTATATTCATTTTCTTGTTCAACAATTCGTTCAGTTACACCAGATTCTCAATTAACAACAATTGCCAAACGATCATCATAATCAGGCCACGATATTTTAGCTTCCAATATTTCTTTAATTTAATTAGAAACCCTTAGTTTTTTTCAGCTGCTGAACCAATTGAACTTTATACAAATGATTCTTAGATAAATTTTTCTGAACGATCAAATTAAATAATAGTTATTATAACAATTTTATGTTGAAATTTTAATGCGTGACGGTTCATGAAAAAAATAAATATTTACAAATTAAAAGAAAAATTCAACAAGATTCTCCACTTGTTGAATATGCTGAAGGAAAAAATTGATGAACCATTCAAAATTTGGCATTAAATTACAAAAGAAAAAGAGTTTAAATATGAAATTAATCAAGAAAAACCTGGATGAACAAAGAAGTTTCGGTTTTTACTTAGGAATCTTGTTAAAACATGAATTAAAAAATCAAAATCAGTCCGATCGCATGATTCTGTTCGAATGCTTGTAACATTATTTAAACTTTTAGATCAAATGGATATATGAAAGTTTTAAAACTTTTATTTTTCACGTACGAGGATAAAACGTTTTCATTTTATGACAAAATAATTCTTACAGCTCATTGGTCTTTGATCAATTGTGATTTTGTTGTTAAAGACAAAGATGAAACGGTAACAAATTATTTTTTTCTCTATTGACATTTATTACTTCTTATTATATTATAGGAAAATATGATATTTACTTTCTATCGAGATGAAGATGGCTCTGTAACAATCAACTATTTGAAGAACAATTTTAATGTTGAAACAAAACATCCTTTTGAAGGCAACATGTTTAAAATTCGTTTTCATGTAAGTTTATTCAATCTCTATTCATTTTTTATTTTCTTTCTATTTATAGATTAATGGAAATGCAATGTATAAGTGGTTCGCCATTGAATACAACAATTTTATCAATCAACAGGAGTAAGTTAAAAATTCTTTACCTTCCCGATTGATAAATGCTCGTTTTTTTTATAGGACTGACGTTGAATATACGATGTTACATGTTTTAGCTCAAAAGATCAGAACTAAAGTAATTCGTATATTCCAAGAACTTGAAAATGAACAACAAAAGTAGCAGCAACTCAAAATCCAGTGCAACAATTGATAAGGCAAGAACAGAAGTTAACATTTTCAATTGAAAAACGGGTCTACGAAAATTGGTCGAATGAAAATTGGTCGAACGAAAATTAGTCGCCGATAATTGGTCGATACGAAAATTGGTCGAAAATTTTGTAATACAAGAACAAAAGCTTTTTCTTCAAAAAAGTAGCCAGAACTTTGTAGTGTAAAGCTGAAACTAGCACTAATTGCAATATCATGTTAATATTAGAGGAAAATAGTGATTCGGACAAATAAATTAGGCATGCATAATACAGGAAAAGTAGTTTAGAACTTTAGAAGAAGACCTTATAATTATTTTAGTAACGTTACCTGTTTTGGGAACACGGTGACCACCTCAGCCGCACCTACACCCTCATCCTCATCCACACCCACACCCACACCCTCAAGCGTATGAGAGTTATCGAGTCAATCAGGCAAACAGCAAGTCACTGATTCATGCATATTTAACTAATGAATTATTCTTTTGCCAATTTATGTCATTATCGACTTGAATCATATCAGGTAATCAATGTTACCAATAGAAATTTAAAACAAAATTCACCAGTACACTTTGCTTATACGGGAACAGTGTATATTTACACATTGCTTTTGGCATCAAAATGAGCTGAAAACAAATGTCTTCAATCTAGGAAAAACAATGTTCCTTTGTTCGTGAAGAACATCAATTAATACTTCGTAAACAAGTGACAATTAAACTTACTATCTCATAACCTAACATGTTCTTTGACAAAATATCAGAGAAAAAAGAGTTGTTATTGCAAATATAAAAAAGTTAATATATTCATTTTTGAAAAATACACTATCATCAAATGGTCAATTGTCTTGATTTTCATCTTCACCCTAATGCATATTATCATGATCAGAACAAAATAATGAATAAGCTGTACCTTTATTTAATTTAAATCGACTTTTATTCATGAATCTTATATATCTAAAATCAATTGAACGATAAAAAACATTCATATCAAAATTAATTTAGTTGCATAGAAAGGCACTGAGAAAACGAAATCAAACAAATAGTATTGGCCGATAATGGAAATGTACTAAAAAGATTACAACCCACTATCCCACACAGATAATTTCTCATTGATACAGATCAGAGATGTTGATGGCCGTGTTTGTTTTGGTCAGGACCGCAAACCCGGCCCGCTCGACGGGCTGAACATTCTTTTTTCTTGATCAGTGGGGTACTCTACGGGTTGTGAAATTGCCAATCCGTGACGGGCTGCCCGCGGATTAATGCAATTTAAATTAGTATAATATTTACTAAAAAAATCAGTGATTGTTTTAAATTCATGCGTTGTTTCTGGGTGAACTTTCTTAAAATATGACTTTTATCATAAAAACAATCATTTATTCCTGAGCACATAAATAAGTATTAAAAAATTTCAAGTTACTTTGCGAAAATAAAAAGTCCAGTGAAGTTGTAAAAATAATTTAATATACTGTATTTTTTTTTCAGTAAACAGTTGCAACTTGCAAGATGTAGATGATGATTAACAGCTAATATGTGTTAAGTAAAAATGAAGGCTAAACGGTTAGGGTCATTTATCAATGTAAAAAATTTGAGAGAGTTGAATTCTAACGACTAGACTATTAGAAAAATTCTATCACGTTACTGAATAAGAAATACATTGACAACTAATGTACATAAAAAGAGATAGGCTATTTTGTCGCGTAACTCTGTCTGAAAAAAAGGGAAAAAGAAGAATGAAGAAATGAAAAAGTGCGATCGAAGTTATTATGTCTCTAACCAAATTTAGAAAGAGAAATGAATTTATATGTGCTTATGCTGTAGAACAATTAAGTGAATGACTAGAACGAAGGTACAGCGAAAACAAACGATAGAGAGAGTTGAAATGATGAAGAACGAAAGAAACAGTAGAAGCAAGTGAATCATCGGAGTAAAAGCGAACAAAATGAATTGTGAATGTAAATCTATGTTGAAAGTAAAAATAAGAGACAACAAGAGAAGTTCGTCAACCGGTTGGACCCGCACATACACATTACTATATAGCGCGGCCCGGGAAAACCCGTGAATCGAGAAAATACTTAACCCGTTAGCCCGCGACCCATCAGAGGTAGGGATGTACCGAGACCCAGACCGAGACTCTCGGTGTCTCGGCCATGATCTTGATATTAACTAGTTTCAGTATCTGTTTTAGAACCTTGTTCGTGAGACGAGTATGAAAATCGATCTATCCATAAAAACATCGTAAATATCAGCAGCCTTATGTGTATTATACTGACCTCATTTGTTAAAAACGCAGCGTTTTATGACGATTATAGTTTAAAATGGTAAACACCATTCTTCAAAGTTCATAAAGACTTGCTTAATCTACGTCAATGTGTCGATCTCAAAGTGTGTTAACTCAGTCTCTGCTTTTCTAAATTAGATATAGAAAATTGAGGATGTTTGTCCATGGAAATGCACGCGGGCAAGGAAATTGTTAACAAAAAAAAAGATTTCCCCCCGTAAATTGGCTGGAAAACGAAGAGAGACTTTTACTGCAATTTAATCATATTGATTTTAACTAATTCCATGCACAAGGAAAACTGTCGATCAGTTGGAAAAATATCCGAGTTTCGACCAATCTTGATGAAATCTTCCAGTTTCTGATTATTTTGACTGCCACAGGAACAGTTTTCGTTTTAGTCGGCCTTTCTGATTATACATACAACTAGATGAAATAAAGCGGAGAAATTCGTAACAGAGACAGAAACGCAGCGCGCAATTGGGGCGGGGCGGGTAGAGATTCTGGCGAGTAAAAATATGGCGGGGCGGGGTGGGGGAGAAGTTACAACGAGGCGGACAGGTTTTCACGGGGTGAGGCGGGTTACGGTAAATACCCGAATTTTCCCTGCAGCACAGTTTCATAAAATAAACACTCATATAAGCATCAACAATAAACTTGAATAATGGAAATATATATGTTTTATGATAGATTTCTCTATGTTACGAGGCTGTATCTTTTCAATACTTTCGAAACTAATTCGATGAGTTGTCATTTTCACAAACTCTTCTGATGATTCATAACATATTAGAAAGCACAATAAATCAGTCTTATTCTTTTTATTCTCAAGTTTTATGCTAATAATATATCAACCAGTTATCTTTCGTAATATGTAGCCAAATAAATCATATGTTAAAGAAATAAATCTATTTTTTAAAGGCTAGAGCACACCCTAAATAAAATAAAAAGTTTCCTTGGAAACCCAGGATATTAGGTTTCGGATCATTTAAAACGCTAAACAGGTTTCCAGACTGATTACGAAAGCCTGAATATGTTTCCGAGCTGATATTGGATACGTTTAAAAGGTTCTCGAGGGAAAAACTGGGGTTTCGAGCTTCCGATACTTTAAAAACATTTTTATACCGATAAACCTGCAAACGCTGAAGGGCTTCCGAAAACTGACGGAGTTTCTATATTTTAAGAAACGGATCATTTTTTCCAGAAGCCCATCAGCATTTCCGGGTTAGTCACTATATGAAACGCTTTTATGGCTTCCGACGCTCGACAGCCTATTTTCTCGTTCCTAGAACCTTTTAAAAGTTTTCATGATCACTCCGGAAACGTATTCAGGTTTCCGGAATCAATCTGTAAACCTATTTTCCTGGGTTCCAGAGAAAAGAATTATTATCTAGAGTGTAGGCATCAAAGAAACAAAAGTTCAGACTAGGGACTAGGCGAGGCTGGGGACCAAAAACTATCCCCGTTTCGACCTCTGGTTCGTAATAGAATCTTCGTTGAGGGTTATAAGTTACTTACGGAGGGAAATCGTTTTTTTTGTTAACAATCGGAATAAAGGTGAGACTGAGGATGAGCTTCACTTTCACCCTTATCATCAAATTTGCTTTTTTAACTATTTTTTGTTTTTGGCCCGCTTGAACGCAATCATACTGTTGTGTAAAATATGCCCTGTCATCTTCATTTTTTTTCTATTTTTATAAATTCAACCGAACGCATGGTCCTATTCTATAATAGCTAGTTGATCAAAAGCAGTCTTTCTTTTTTGAAAACGTAATACGAGTGAGATCAGTATGACTTTTCGCGTTTCAAAAGGAAACAGCGTCTAGACCGATTGGCTTGCTTTTTGTCTATTTGAGGAAGTTACTCACAAAAATATGAAGCTTCCTCGTTATTGTCAATGACTCATACAAGATTGGCAGGCTCTACGCCAGAAACATATGGTCAACATTTTTATATTAGCTTCAATCTGGCCATTAACAATAAATTAGCATCCTACCAGTTGAAAACAGGCATATCAAAATCGACGCCAACTGATTCAGCAGCGTTGATTGCTAACCAACAATTCACAACATTCTGCCCAAATCTTAAAGAATGGTGTTCCCTATACAGAGGTTCAATTCTAGTCAAAATCACTCCGCGGGACTGTGAAAAAACGTCCACTGTACGGAGACTTCCACTATGCACAGGTTTGATTCCAGCAAAAATCATTCTGTTGGGCCACGAATATGTCCATTATACGGAGGTGTCCATTATAGAGAGGTATCCATTGTGGGAGGTTTTACCGTATCAACAGAAAATCTGTCAACGAATGCTTCAACACATGTGTACGTTTTTTCTCGTGTAGAACAAGAAATCAAATTGCAATAGTGTCTGCAATATCTCCGATAAACTTATCATCATCTATTTCAACCAATTGGTTAATAATTGGCTTTTAATTGAGTCTAAGAGCTCGGATAATTTTTCTTAGAATCTTTTTCATTTTTCTATTCGCCATTTGCTATTCTATGTCAATAGTAAGAGCTCTACTACTCGTCGTCGGCAAAAACAACAAGAAGATAAATACGGAAATAGATATCAGCTAGTCAATGACAGTGCTTCCAATTTATCCAAATGTCTCATCTACTGGAAGCATATCGAATGTATATTCGTATTACATATAGAGTTAAGATTTCGAGTGTTGACAAAGTCTGTCATTGATAATAACGAATATGTTTCGATGTAAGAACATTAAAAACTGAATGACTGTTATTATGTATGGTGAATAATCCAGAGAAACGATTAATAATTAGTCATTTTAGCGTTTCTTTTTTGTCAACCTTCTAGAATAGATGAAGACAATTCAATAGTAAATATCAATAAACTGAAATAAACATTTTATCTAATAGTACCAATCATTCAAATGAGTATCGAGAACAAAATACAGTAACTTTTCGTTCGATTATCGAATACAAAACGATGTAAAATAATATTTAATGAAAAAGCAAATGTTCTTGTGAAAAAACGTTTCTGTTTTTCTATTACTGAGCTATAACCGGATTTTCTAGTTGCGTTGGCGTTGCTAATGTAGTTGGATTCACTGAAGCAATATGATCATCATGTAAATCAAATCGCCATTCAGTCACCGGGCATGTAACACCATCGAACGGTTGTTCAAGTGCGTAGGTTTTTTCATCATCATGAACTTCAATTCGAGAAACAACTTTTCGACAAGTAAACGTTGCTTCAGGTGTTGGCTTGTATTCTTGTTCTGGTATACAAGCTCGGCCACCAGCATCCAATGTAACTGAAATCGATTCATTTGAAGTATTATTATTTGTGCCAGTTGCATAGTGAATTGTACATTTTAACGGTTTACTTGTTTTATTCGATATTACGCCAGCATAAACATGACGTGGTGCAGCACAAAAAGCTCGTGAAGCATGCATCGATATTCTATGATTTAATTACACACCGATATGAAATATATTCAATGATATTCGATATATTCACGACGAAATACGTATATATACACTACTTTCCACCCACTGAATACAACGACAAAGATGAGTAAGAAGAAAAAAAATAATGTCAGTGGTAAATCTGTTAGTCAAACGAGCTGAGGGTGGATGATGATTTTCTTTCTTTCTTTCTTTCTTTCTTTCTTTCTTTTCTATCGCAATAAAAAATATGTATTTTGCACCGCCAGATAAATAACTAATGACAGTATATACAAAAATAGGATTTCATGTCTTCGTTTCTTTTCCCACAATAACAACAACAACCAATAGACAAAAATAGGCTACGATCGGCGTCTGCTTTTGTTTTAGATGATAGAAATCATTATTTACCGTACAGATGTTTTTTTTATCTATTCATTTGTTTTTCAAATAAAGATTAAAATACTGAAAAAGAAAACAATTGTCACATATTTGGGAATGTACGTCAGCGCACTAATCAAAAATATGAATTTACAAAAACAAAACAAAGTTGAGTTTGAAATTAATCATTATTGCGTCCGTATTTGGTAGTCACCATTTTGTGTTATATATCGAACCCATGGTAACGCTTGATAGCCACTTTTTTCAATTATTTTTAAATAGCGAACCTAAAGCCACAAAATGATGCTTAAGAAAACAAAATAGTACTACTGTATTTACTTGAATGCCCGATGTAGTAAAATAAGGAATTTCAAATTTAACTTCAATGGGAGGTTTAGCTTCATGATCTTCTTTTTCAATACTCGGTAATTTAAAGTGAGAACGCATTAAAAATTCTTTACCACCCTATACATTATATAAAAGTATTAAAATTCAAGTAACATATAGAAAATTTTAAAGCACTAACCGGAAATGATTTTATTGACCAAACCATAGCATTTCTCTCGGGAACATACTTCACAGAACCTGTTGTAGCTTTGAATCGTCCGGAATCTGCATCGGATGGAACAGGAATGATTATTTCAACATTATTTGCCGTTGAACGACGTTTAAATTGAGATTTCGCTTTAACCATATATTCAACACGTGAATGAGCATGTTTTTCAATGACTGATTCAATCCAAATCAATGGTTTAACCTAAATTGAAAATTAAATTTCAATGTTTTCTAGCTGAAACTTCACACTTGTGTATTTAAACGGTAAGACATCAATTCGAATTCACCGTCCGGTGGAACAAATGATATTGTTCGATCATTTTCAAAACGAGATAAACGAACACATTGATGAAATCGAACATCTTCTAATTCGACACCTTTATTCTTTGTACCTAAACATTATTAAATGATAAAATTTACTTTGTTAATTAAAATCATAAAAAAAAACACGTACGTCCAGAAGTTTCAAAGAGAATTTTATCATTGAGTCCAAGACGTAATTCAGGCATACCACTAAGATATACACGCATCTTAATTACTCCCTGAATTTCTGATCGAAGAACATTTGCATTCGAATTGACCTATATACGTACATGATCAATATGTCACATCAAAATATCATAAAAACAAAAATTCTTACCAGAAGATTGACGGATTCAACTACGTCAAGAAAAACTTCATTTTTTCGATATTTCAATCCATCGGATCGCCAACTAACTTGTTGTGTTAGTGCTGGTGGCGGACGGACTTCTTCAAGTTTGTGGCCTTCTTGTGTTATATATTCTTGAAGAATTTTCGAATCAGTCGATTGAGGAAAACCAAAATCCATTAGTTCATCAAGTAGTTCATAGACAGTAACAAAATTATCTCGTATCGATTCTTCTTCGAGTTCTTTAAAGTATTCACAAAATACACGAACACATTTATAGAGAAATGTTAAAATCATTGTAATATTTGCATTTATTTTAGTTGTACATACAACTATAAACATTTTAGAAAAGTAATGCAAGTAGCTATATAAAAAAGAAAGAAACACTTACGGTACACATTATTGTATTTAATATAGACAAAAGCCACGTCACCATGTTGAAATATGGGTGATAATTGAGATTCATCTTCTTTTTCTAATAATAATTGCATAAATTTTTCGATCACATTCATTTCAATATCACCACGATAATTTCGAGACAAAAGGACCTATAAAAAGAAACTTTATGGATTCTATTACAAAAATGATTTAAATTTACTTTGCCCTTGGCATCCAAGATGTAAATAGCTGATGCTGACATGTTTGTTCAATATCTCACTTGATTGAATATGAAAACGAGTTATGTATGAAGAGAAATAGATAAGATATAAATTGTTCTGTTTAAAGGTGTTTTTTTTAGTATTAACACGTCGCCGTCACTGTCGCCGCACGGTCAACTAGTGATGACAACCACTCTTAGTCACTGACAATTTTACTCCATCCACTTTATAACCTACGCGATTGGATAAAAAGCGACAGATGGCAGACAAAATCGATACTACAAAAACTTCTCAATGGTTTCTATTTTGTTCGACAACAAAAAATTGTATTAGATAAATATTTCCTTTTCTTAGCCGTAATGTTAGTACGAAGATCGTAGAGTTGATAAATTAGTTCTTATGTCTCAATTCCTCTTTTGTTGTCGATCTCACGGGACGTCGTGTCATATTGATAAATATAATTTGGTTTTTCATCTAATAGAGAAAATATGTTGCAATATAGTGTATGCATATCGATACCCTACACTAAAAATGAGTAGACTTTAACAACATAGCCTTGTGGGATTTCATAAATATTACAATGACTTGAAAGACTAAATGAGATTCAAGAAATTTCTGTGTTTGTCGATAAACATTCGCCACAAATATCTCTAGATACAACATATCACTTTTTATTTGATCAACTTTCTGTAGCAGCTAAATATTTGAATAAGACATAGGTAAATATATATATATATATATACGACTGGCATTTATTGATTTAGTAATGCAATTGTGTCCTATGAAAGCAACTAAACTAAATCTTGATTAATCGTTAAAAACTTGAACAGTTCAGTTTGATCACTGCAAGCTTCATGTTTTCATATAGTTAATATAAGAAGAATTATCGATGTATTCTATAGAACCCAAGAATTCAATTTCCTCTTATTAATAATAGGATACAAAAAAAAAACGTGTTTTTAAGATATCTGGCTATAAGTACACTGTACAAATATATCAAGATGGTAGTGCTTTCTTTTGTGCACTAGTGCCGTTTGAAGGTGGCGCAGCAATTAATTTCCTTTGTTGTGCTAATAAACCTTCAAGATGATCAGCTCGTTTGACAGCAGCTTCAAATTGGCCACGCAGTGCTTGTACTTGCTCATCCTTTTTACTAATAGCTTGTTTGATTCTTAAAAGAAAATCAGTTCAAATGTTTACTTTTAAAGAAATCGAAAATTAAATCTTTAAATTACTTTTCATGCACAGTTTCCAATTCTTTTTCTTTTTCTCGTTGTAATAGTTCAATTTCTTCTTTTTTCTTATCTGATTCTATTTGTTGTCGAGCACGTAATTCTGCCATATCACCTTTGATACGCCGATTTTCTTCTTCAGTTAATACAAGTCGATCAGCAAATTCTTGTCGAATTATATCCGATAAACGTTCGCGTTCCTTTTGTAATGTCTCCGTAATCTAAGAAAACAAAAACAAATAAGCATAGTAGAAGAAGAGATCTTAACGGCACTTCTGTTTCCTGTGCTGAATAATGTTACACAGTTTTGGATGTTTGACAAAGATGATGAGTTTTACAATGAATTCTGTATTCCATACAAGAATTTATATCAAACAGAATGAAATCAGTAGATTTACGTATGGAGAAACTATTTTTCCTGTAATGAAAATATGACTACTGGCGAATCCACCTGTTCGATAAACAGACGACTGTCAAGACCAGGAACTTTTCTAGGCATTATCTAACATAAAGATATCGACTTTTTTTTTAGAGTGCTCTATCTAATCTGTACAAGATTTCAACACAAGTTTGGGATCATGTTCACACCGAACAATGTGCATGTATGAGTTTTCATTTCCTTTGTTACCTTTTTGATATCGGTGACTTCTGTTTCTTTTTGTCTGAGTATAACTTGTAATCGTTCATTTTCGCCTAGAAAAATAAAAATTCCTTATTAATCAATCTTTTTTCAAACCGATGTTAACCTTCAACTTCTGTCATTTGTGCTTTCATTTGATTATATCTATCTTTTGTTTGTCTTTCGGAATGTTCAAGTTCACGAAATTCTGCTTCATATTTATCTCGAATACGTCTAAATAACAAAGATTTGACAACATATTAAAACAATTTTCGTATTAATTATTTTACTTGACACGATTTTCTGCTGTACGTTCAGCCTCTTCTTTGGTTAAACTTGTATCTGATTCAAATTGGGAGATGATCTTTTCAATCTCCTTATCACGTTCACGTTTCATATGTTCTCGTAATTCTCGTTCTTTGCCAGCTAAAGATGTTTCTTGTTTTTTCATATAATTTTCTTCCCAACTTTGTTTCTCTAGCAATAGTTTCTCTTTCAATTCATTTATTTCATTCGTATGTCGTCGTTCTTGCTCTAATCGTACGGCTTCATATTCGCGTTTAGCAGCATCAACAGCTGTTCGATGATTATCTTCAATATCACGTCGAAGTCTAAATATTAAATTCATTGAATTGAATTGAATATTTTGAAAAAACTCATTTACTTATCAAGATCAGCACGTTGTTTTCCAGATAATTCAGCTTGTCGATTTTTTTCATCTTCAATTTCTGCGTAAAGTCGACGACGTTGCTCAGCAAAAGATTTCTCTTCGTCTCGTATAGCCTTTTCATATTTGTCTCGAGCTGAATCTCGTTCACGAGCAATAGCCGATTCTTTTTCACGTTCCAATTGATCACGTAAATCTTCTGTCAAACGAACATAACGTTGTGCAGCACGTTCATCGGCTGCTAATAATTCAGCTTCATGAACAGTTTTCATTTTCGCTAATTCAGTTTTATGTTTGCCGATTAATTTTTGTATTTCAGGTTCTAAACCGCGAACTGTTAATTCTTTAATTTTTTTCGTTTTTTCTTCAATCCACCGTTCACGTCGTAATTTTTCAGCAGCTTCATGAACATCTTTCAATTTTTGTAATTCTATTCGATGAGATTCTTCCATGTTTTTTATACGATCACCTGATTTTTTATCAATAGTTTTTAATTCGGCAACAAGACGTTCACAACGTTCGGATAATTTCTTTTTATCGTCGATCAACTAAAAATAGATGAGAGTGATTTTTTCCTATACGCTCTTAACATACGAAAGGACGAGTTAAGAGTTTTGCGGAGTGTACCTAGACCTTAAATCAATTCATGTAGAAAGTATACTATCGAAATTTATCTTTCCATATTGTTAAAAGAAAGTTACTCTCGTATACTACTTTTCTACTAAAATATTTAGTGATTAAAAAGAAGATATTGTCACATTTGATATAAATCTAAATCATTTATTAATCATGTATCAACGATATAATAAATCTTCCTTTGACTCTGCTTAACATTTCGGTCTCTTCTAAAAAAAGATTTAATGATGATTGATAAGAAAAACAATCATAGAAAACAGTTGCGTGCTTGCATTTGTTTGCCAAAAAAGAAAGAACTTTCAATTGACCTTAAACAAACCTGATCAATAAATGATAAATGCCGTTGTATAGTAGCTTCGTAATCATCTTTTTGTAATTGTAAACGATGTTCTAATTCTCTTTCAGATTCTTTTGCATGACGAATATTTAATTCACGTTGCTGGTTCTAAATTGAATATGAAAATTAGAGTGTGTATTTTAAGATTAAGAATTTACTAATCGCTGTTGAAGAATAATCGTTTGTCGTTGTTTATCTTCATTATCCATTCTTAATTGTAGAACTGTGTCTGTAACGCCTTGAGCTGTGAGGGTTGCTTCACGTTCATCATCATCTTCATCATCTTCTTCTGTTAATTTTATCGGTTGAGCAGGAACCATTAAAGATTTATGTGGTGCTGTGACCTACCAGTATACAACATGAAATATTTTGTCGTTTAACTTTCTATTTTAATCATTACTTTATTTCCCTGTTTTGTTTGTTGATCAATCGATGGTGATGCTCGATTTTGAGGTACTGAAACAGATTGTGCTAATTTTTTCGGTTGTTGTTGTTGTCGACTTGATTGAGGCGGAGTTGCAAAACGGACCGTCGTAGGTGCTGATGTTTCACGATTAGTCAATTTTTGTGATCGAACACTTTCAAGAGTCACTTCATTTCGGTTAGCTTCATCTAAATAGGATAATATTGAATTCACTCGATTCGGAGCTTGAGGTGGTGGTGGTTCATCGACAACAGTTGAATTTGTTGTTGGATCGATTGAATAAGCTAAATAATAAAAAAAAAATACAATAACTAATCATAAAAAAAGTTCTATTCAATGGACTTTTATGTCCGAAGATGGGAAGGAAGAAAAGAACGATCATTGCTTATGCCCACCAGTACTCTTTTCAATCTCGAATATTCATACCTGAATCATTTTCAATCATAGTTTGAATAGGAAATTGTTCGACTTCTTCTAATTTTCTTAATGTTTCATAAACATCAGTTAATGTTACTTTTGATGATGATGATGTTGTTGAATTAGGAGACATCATTTTCTTTATAGATGAAAAAAATTAAATCAAATAATTTTTCATTTAGGTAAAAAAATAATTCTATCAATACTTCATCAACATGTGGTGAAGAAGGTGGAAGTATTGATGAACTCGGATTTGTTCGATGTCTAGCAGATGATGGTCGTTGGTTGGGTGTCGATGGGCGATGTTCATCGATTTTCTGTTGATTTTCATACAATTGTTTTCTTCGTTGTTGTGCTTCCTGATGAATAGAATCAATAATATCGGGTTTTGTTTTAAGATTAACTAACAAGTATATGTAATTACTTTAATAGCCGTCAATCGTGTTTGACGGTGTTTATCTTCTCGATTTTTTTTCTGTTCAAGTATAGACAATTTTTCTAATTCTTTCGCACGTTCCATGGATGCTTGATGTTCAATTTTCTTTTGTTCGAGGACTCTATAATAAATCTTGAAATAAATCTTTGAAAATCATATTTATTAATTGAGAACCTTTTCAATGCAGCTTCAGCCATTTTACGCCTCATTTGAACTTTTCGATACCAACGTTGAATAGTTATTGAAGCTGTTTTAGCTCGTAAATCAGCTTCCATCGGTGTCGATTGTGCAATACCAGCTATTTGTGAAGCTGGCATCTGTTGTCCACGTCGATTATTACCGAATTGCAGAAGATGAGTACTTGCCATTGTTCCACCATTCATGCTATCACGCGACATGTCTATGGGACCAACACCACGACTTTGTTGATGAGGAGAAAATGAAGTATTTAAATTAAGTTCATCAACCCAACGACGTGTATCATCCCATTCTTCGTCGTCACCTCTTTTATTTGATGAATGTTCATGATGTTGTTGTCGATCGGTAAAAAATGCATCAACATCATCATGTTGCGAATTTGTTATACGAAATCCGTTCGAAGCAGCTGATGTAGACTAAAAGTAAAATTATGTTTTTTGTTGTTCAATTTTAACAATTTCAGATAGAGAAAAGTCCGGAAGAAATGTCAGTGGTTGTATTTTCGAACTAAAATTTTACTTTTAACGAAAGCAGCTTAAGTCAATTAGCTGGAATAAGTTTTTATCAAGAGAACAACTTGTCTAAATCCTAAGAACATAAGTCTTTCTTAAAGGCTAAATTTCATAGCTACTTGTTTAACATCTGGTGTTGGTGATTTAAGCCAAGCAGGTCGTGGACCACTATTGCTATTTCGTCTAGAATTTCAACAAATTTTATTACTAAAATCCAATCAAATAAAATATACCTTTGTCGAGCACTACTGTTTATATTTGTATTTGTTCGATGATCTCTTGCGCTACCTTGAATGAATTATAGTCGAAATCAAAATCAAAGCTTTTCGTATTATTTCTATTACCTGTTCTTGCAGATGTAGTTGGTTGTCTCGTTTGAGAATTACTTCGTGCACTATATGGACGTGATGATGCATTTCCAGGTGGTTGAACAGAATTTCCTTTCAGTGACAAATTCAATCCATCATTCGAACGAAACGCCATTCTAACTGATTATAATAAAACGATTGTTGAAAAAAAAAGAATCCTTTTTATTATCACCATAATTCAATCTCTTAGTCTATGAGATACTTAGTAATAGACTTCATTCATAAGTATAGATGTCAGTTAAAGGAGGTTCGAATGATTGATTTCATTGGTTTCTATAGCTATACGAATCATCTGCGTTAATCAGTAGTTGAGTTGAAAAAGAAGAAAATATACTACATATATACTGTTTTTGTTTCACAATGTCAGACAATGGTGAGTTTATTTGAAATCTTAATTACTCATTTGAATACTATTATTATTTTTAAGCCGAATCTGCTACTAAAAATGAAGATAAAACAGAAAAGGATGCGACGTCATTATTAGCATCACCCGTCAATAGTGTAGATTCATCAGCACCCGTTCGTTTATTTGGACAATTTAAACAAAATGGAACATGTTTTGGCGGTTTCGGTCGATTATCTTCTGATGGCGAAAGTTCTTCAGTTCCAACAACGAGTTATTTCACTAGCACACTTTCACAATTTTCATCGACAAACGGCGGGGGATTTCGTTCATCATCAACTTCATTAGCTGCATCACTTGCTCCATTGAGTTCTAGGTATAATAGTTATAAATCATTTGTCCATTTCGAAAATAAAATGATTTGTTAATTTCAGTAAAGAACTATTTGTTGGATCAAGTTCATCGAAGAACGATAAAGCCACAAAAGACGAAGATGAAGAAGAAAACGACGACGAGGAAGATGATGAGGAAGAGCAAGATGACAATAATAAAAATACACCTTCATTATTCGAAACAGCAGCTGAATATGAAGCTAAACGAGCATCAACTCATCCATCAGCTAATATTCAAGGTGATACATCGACCGGTGAAGAACATGAAGTAACCAAATTTCAAGTAAGAAACTGTTTTATTTTTTGAATATTATAAAACTTTCAACTTAGATGGCTGGCAAATTGTATATGTATAATCCCGAGCAACAACAATATACTGAACGTGGTTATGGCATTTTGAAAATAAATGAAAGTCATGATTCATCGGATTGGAATATGTTACACGCACGAATAAGTAAAATATTTAATATTAAATCAGAGAACTCAATATGGTCGCGTATCTCTTCGAAAATATTTTGGACGCTCCTATATGATTAGTACTATGCGTGCGCCAAATAAAGTATTGACGAGTAGAGAAACAATACTATTCTGAATATTTATTAAATCATCTTTATTCAAAATTAAAATGAGATGAGAATCCAATTCTTCTAGATTATAGCTTCGCCTAGAAAAAGAATTCTATAGGTTTGAGTAACAGAAACTTTTTAAACTCGCCGAATTGCCTAAAAAAATTCATCACAATTAATTTATGTTTTTTTATTAAACTTCCCTAGAAGTTCTATTCTTGTTAATCTTCTTTGCCAATCGGTGATAATCATTTTTAGAAACAATGCATTACGAGTCTACTTTTATCTTCTTTGAAGAAAGATAATAAATCAATAGCGTAAAATAGGAGAACCGTCGCTTGGAATTATGGAGTATTCAACGGGAGATATCGAGAGTAAAAATTGCTCCATTTTCTGTGTGAAAATATTTCTTATAGAAATTCGTCACTGTTTTTTTTTTTTCATTTTCTTTTTTATTCAAATGAAAGCATCGAAATCGTAAGAGCACTCCTTAGAAATGCGCATATTTTTTTAACTAGATTTTTCTTTTTGTAAATATTGATTAAGAAAGCAGGGAAACATCATATTTAGAAATAAAAACAAATACAATAGTCTAAACTCATTCCAGAATAAACAATCGTGAGTTTGAGCCCAACGGAATGTATTACTATTTCAAAACAAAAGAGGCCAATTTTTCTCTTTCATTAAAAGATCGAAGATTTCATTGATTTTTCTTCTTTAGTTATGCGACTTGACAAAGCATTTCGTGTTATTCTTAATTCTCCTATATTTCCTCATATGACTGTTGAACGACCAACAGATCGATCTGTGCGTTTTGGTGCTCAAGATGAATCCCATCTACGAGTCTTTATTATCAAAGTAAGTCTTTTTTCGTTGATTTAAATCAATATCTATGCTAATATTCATGGTAGGCTTCAGCAAATGATTGTAATAATTTATGTAAAGAATTACAATCACGCATACAAATAATTGAACGACAACAACCGTCATCAAATGTCAATACAACTGTATGTTTTTGCGCATTGTTTTTGCTTAGAAAAATAACATAGGGCTTCTTGTTTTTTCTTTCTAGGTTAACAATAATACTATCACATCAAATTCTTTATCTACACAAAATTCTACGAATCGTATTCGTAAAAGATCTCATTCAAATAGTGATTCGGATACACCGGAAAGTACGAATGATATATCAAAAAAATCTAAGTATGCATTGCATATGTGAATATTAGAATATATATTCTTTATTGTTATAGAATAATTGACGGATATCGTGATGAAAGTAACCAGACAAGCGATGAAGATTCTGTAGAAAGTATCAAAACAGGCGAACAAGAAACTAATAATTAATAAACAAATATATAAATCAATGTTCTCTCAATTTCTTTCGTTTCTTTTTAAAATAAAAAGATTTATTTAGTAATGCATCTATAAATAGCAAATATCCTTGTTTCTTTTTCTTATTAAAAGAAATAATCAATAAATATATATATAAATATTGCTATTCATCATTGTAATATTATTCAACCAATTCATTATCATTGTTTTGATTAGATGGATCACATATTCTTTTATTCGATCAGATTTGAATCTCTGATGTAGTTTTTCAATATGATCGATATTTAAACGGTGGACGACAATTCTGTTCTCATCAAGATTATGCTTTGACAGCTACCAAGCTTGCTCTTTGCAAAACCTTGTTTTGATAGTCCATCTGCTGATAAAGGCCTTCTTTGACTTGGGTATCGAAGAGAAAAATTCCTCGTACTTGGAATTATAATTTACGATGAATATGAAACAAGTAAATACACATCTGTCACATATGTTGTCAAAAACAAAATACTGCTGTTACAAATGAGAGAGTCGTTTTACTTCATAGCTATAAAATACCACTCGATAAAAACACATGAGATGAAGTTTTTTTCTTTGTTAGCCGATATCCGTTATTGTTTATTCAATGAATCAATATCATTAGGATTCTTTTTTTTTATTCGTTCTCTCGATCGACAGTTCGACGCACGTGTGTGCAGGCGTTTTCGCAATCTCTTGTCAATATCGTCTTGCCACCATATTGATATTTATCCGATGAGTATCAGTGTATATACATATACGTGGGAGAATTCGTCGTTTTGTATGCATTGGCAGCTGTTCTTCACATAGAAGAAATGTAAGCGTGTGCCAATTGATCCATTTGCAATAGCATGTCTCTCGTCTATTTTTTTATGGAGTAGTAATTAGACAGCACAGAGAAGAGAGAAAGAAGAATACAATCGGCCGGAAGAGATGACGATTCTTCATTTTTTTTCTTCTCGCCTTTTTCTTGCTTCGACCACATCTATTGTTCTGTTTTTCTCTTCTCTGTCCCTTTCGTTGAGTGAGTTTCGTTAGTTTGTTTAATAAAAGCACGAAATAGGAGGGAGAAACAGACAGAGAAGGGAAGAGAGAGAAGGGAGGGGAAGGAGATGTGTTTTTTCTCTCTTTTTTTTCGTTTCTTTTCATTCTTTATATGATTCGAACATACGACATATAGATTTTACTTTCGAGAGAACAACATGTTGGTCACCTCTTCGCAAACGTCTACACAGCGACCATTAGGTCTATCTGTTGAAGAATTATTTGCATTAGATCGGCAATATCGTCGAATCGAACAACAGCAACATTTAGCTCAATTACAAGCACAATCACGTTTAACATCATCGAATCTTAATCGTTTAGCTAGTCGATCCCTTGATCTCATATCATCACTCCCACCGTCAAATCCACTTACGATTCTTCCATCCCTGGAAGTACAGGGCCATGGATACACAACGAATCGATCACAGCCTTCACCTTCATCTAATTCCAACTATGCACGTTCACATTCAATAGATCAACTAAGATATTCCAATCCACCACCACCACCGCCACCGCCGCCGCCACCTCCTATTATAAAGCATCGATATCCACAAAGACCTTCAACAAATGATATTATTGGGCATCAACAATATCAAACAAATTTCAGAACTTATCTAACCGTAAGTAATATCTATATGTAAAAACAAAGCAACAACAATAATAAAATATTGATGTTTTCTTTTAGCAGCCTATCATGCCTGCTGGTAATACATCATTATTGGCAAATAATTTTGTTTATGATCCACCATCAATTAATAATTATACGGATAATCGAGGTTCTTGTAAGCTTCGTCGACAACAGCCCATTAAACGTGAGTCATCACGTCGTATTGTTGTTCGACCTGTTGTACAACGACGCCGTGAACCATCGATAAGTTCATCATGCGAATCATTAGATGAACGACGTTCATATAATAATTATCTTCCATCTCCATCGAATTATTCTAATCAATCTGTACCATTTACACCATCAACTTCATTAATCGAAGAAGTTATTAATGGTTTAAATGAAGAAACAACTAATTTAGCACATAATATTTCTTATAGTGATTCAACATCCGATGATGATGAAGTAAATCTGTATGAAATGCGTGTACCAATTGGTAAAACATATGATACATCAGATATAAGTGTACAATTAGAAGGACCGAAAATTTTAATTCATTGCCATACAATTGAACCAACAGATAAACGTGGAAATTATCGTAAACATGAATTAAAAACGGAATTATTAGTGCCTGATGTTGTCGATGATGAAACCATTGCTGCTTATTTAACTGAAGATGGAGATTTGATTGTTGAAGGAAAATATCATTCATGGGCATGGAAAGAAATTAAAAAGAAAAGACGTATTGAACAAGAAGAATTAAAAACTGTATCATCGTCGGCTAATTCAAAAATAGTATCCACAAAAGATAATAGCGGAGGTAGGATGATGTATGATCTTAGGTTTTAAAAACACAAAAAGAAATTATTGCATAAATAAAATAAACTTCAATCATATTGAAAGAATTTGATGTTCAAAGAGCAAATCATTCTTCTCAGAGAGAGGGGGGAGACCATAATCATAAATAATCTTAGATCTTCCTTACAATTATGACCAGTTGTATCTCTAGACAGGAGAACAACGAGACATCCATCGAGTTCTTACACCTATGCATTGTGTTACTCCATACACACTAATTAATCACATACTACCCGCAAGGGTAGACATATATGACAACGTAGCCAGTCAACCATGACGACTAGTGAACAATAAATCATAGATCTATTTAGCAAAAAATGCATAGCCATTTTTCATCAATACATAATTCATTACATTTTGTTTATAACATAATCGATTTCCTTGCAGAAACTCTACTTTACCTAGAATGCCTTCTATACAAATAAGATCACTACAGAGAGTAACTTGAAACCACAATGCTACTTGTAATGAGTTCATAACTGCTGACTTCTCTATAACTCATTCAGATCGGAACGAAAACAATATTCATCTGTGAAAATAATACACTGAGAAAGTTCATGTATGACTCGCTAATCATCATATGTGATCTATTGATTTTTCTTATCAGATGGATAATATCAGTTGCAATTATTTGTAGTATTCGAAATCATCAATCATGTTCACTGCGAAGCTTCTCGGAGGGTTTTCTTCCTCATTAGTATGCGCTTTGTACGTAAATCAAAAGACTATTGTAGTCAAAATTGATCTTTCAACGTTATTGTAAACTATTGATGCTTGGGAAATTATAAACGAGCATTGATTTAGCATAGAAATTAGTTCTTGAATATGAACAGATACTTGCTCAATAATTATTTTCGATTTCATAATAAATTTTAACTCAACAAGCAAGCAGTTTGATAGACTAACTCTACCTCTGCATTTGTTTTAATTCTTCTTGTGTGTATAATTATTCACATTTGACTGTTTTTTCAGTATTACTAAGTTATGTCAAATCAATGTTTGATTGGGTCAGTATGACTTTTCTTATTCTGAAATTTCCTTTTATTTTTACTAGCACGGTGTGACTGTGTGCTTATTATTTTTTCAGTATGGTTTACGCTTTATTTTCTAGCTTTCATTTTTTGTTGTTAATGAAATGTAAATATCAATGCTTCGATTTTGAATATAGGTTTGGAACAAAACAGTAGATCATCATCCTACAAATCCAACAATAGCCGAATAATAAATAATAAAATTGAAAAACTTGATAATAATCGAACTGTTATTCATCTTGGTGAACCACTATCATCGAAACAAAAAAGTGTTAGTGATATAATAAATCGTTTTAATACATTGAATAGACATGATTCATCAAGTATGAAGGATGGACAATATTCATTTAGTAATGATTTTCCACCGAAACTTATTTATCATCTTCGTTTACCTTTTGAAACATTAATGGATTCAATACGTATACAATCGGACTCGCAATTAAATATATTAAAAATTTTCATTGAACAACAAGAAAAAAGTTTATTAGAAGAACAACAAAAAAATAAAATAATTGTACGTTCTACATCACGTCTATGTCGTTTACCACGAGATCATACTTATGATTATAATCGTTTACGTGTTAACTTTCTTGACAATAATTTTATTCGTATTGAACTACCTACATTAAGTTGAAATTATTAATTATTACTTCAAATAATACCGGTGATAGTTCACTTATTGTCGCTCCTCTTTTCTCTCTCTCTCTCTCTTTGATGTTTTAAATGTACTCATATATATTTATTGTCTGATCTTTTTTATATACATTTATAGTAATCATATAAGGTAAAGTGTGATACGTTATTATTAGTATATGATTTACGACTATTGTTCAAATAAGAAAAAGCCAGAAAATATGAACTAGTAAAAATATTTTCAATTATATTAATTTTTTTGAGCATAGGACGTATATGATATGTAAACTTGGTTGATAAGAAAAAAAGCCAAGCGTACAAGTGCATTTGTGTTCACTCATAACTTTATTTGGTTCATCATGATTATTATCTGTTTGAAAATAGAAGATAGATTTATTATAAATTGTCATTCCAACAGGTCTATGAACAGTTTTTTATTGTTGACAAGCGCTTAACAGAATTTTACATCGAAAACTTCTGTGAAATGATGTAATGTGCAATAAGATTTCTATGCATAGATTTTCTGATCTCATTTTGATTATCACAAATTACACTACATGATAATCGATAGAATCAAACATATCATGATGAATTCATATGTAGTAAACTAGGAAACCAACATGTTTGATAATCAAATCGTTAGATCTATCTAACTTGATAGCAACTATTACAAATATCTTAGATAATCTTAAATATGGCTGATTTTGATCTTTGTTTATAGAAAGTTCAGACTTGTTTTGACTGCTACTCGAATACTTCCAAGAATATTTTTGTCATAGTATTCTATCATTGTATGATCACTGATAAACTTGCTCATCATATTCAAAGACGTTACCTGCATCTTATATACAGGGCTAAACGAGAAGGAGATAAGTGATTTCAATTATTCATAGATTAGGAGAATGTCATTAAAAATCAATTGTGTTCGAATGATTATCAGATTTTATCATCTCCGGTAATTTTAGGTGGCATTTGGTTTTCATTAAAATAATTCTTACTCATTAAAGCTCTATAATTCCAGTTTTCTCTGTAGGTTCTATTGGATACATCTATAGATACTGTATAGTTACTTCAAGATTTTACTTTTTCTTTACGTACTGTCTTTAGAGCAACTATAATTCTAGTTTTTTTTTTCCGCAGAAGTTTAATGAAAATTTCGAGAATATCTGTGTGTTAAACAAAACTATTTTAGTTCTTTAATGCCTATTTTTGTGTTATTTCTTGTTGTACACACAATACTTGTAATGATACCACCAAAATAAGCAAAAATATGGAACTTGTTTTTGTTTGCGCGTTGTTTCTCGGTTCCACTGTCAATTCAACCTCATATGTTGATGTTAAACTATATGTTTCATCTGTTGCGCTAACTTGCACAGGAATTGAACTACCAATTGTAGTTTCTTCTGGTACTTTCCACCGATATTGACCTGTTCGTTCCTCCAAAGTTGATTCACTCGGACCATGAAGAAGTTTGCAGGCAATGATAGTAGTAAATTCGCTAGTTGCATTGAATAATATATTCACTTGCTGACCAGTTTTTACTGAATGTGTCAAAGATAGATCATCGCTGAGCTTTGGTGGATTACGCAGGGATTCACGTTGTTCGATCTGTTCTTCAGCTGCATGCCATGAAGCACGTCCAAAAGAAATATCATTTGTGATAGCAGCATCATAATAGCACGTTCGCTAAGCGTAGGACCATTGCGATGAATCACTCGAGTCTAGAGGGATACTACATGCTTGACGAACATTTGATTCTTGAGAACCTGCGGTGGGCTCATCGAAAATGGGGATATATATCAGATTTTGAGGTGCATAAAATGAGGCTCTATCATTTGCTTCATAGCGAAAAAGAGATTGGCTGGGACCAATAGCCCAGGTAGTACCGTATAGCTGTGAAGTAAAAAGTCAAATATCCGGCAGCATTGAAAAAAAAACTCACTTCATGAATTTGTTTAGATGTCAAACTGTCAATACTACCAACTACAGTGCCATTCTTGGTTCGTAAGTCATTTGCTGGATTACCATCAAACCCAGTGTCCAATTTCCTTTTAATTCTCCACTTACAGCTGCCCCTACATTTAATACGACTGTCGATGTTGTATTGACAAATACCGGTGTCACCTGAATGCTAACACCTATGGACCATGAGAGTGTCAGTTGACCGTTGGTTTGATTTTTTATGATCGAAAAGTCTTCAAAGCTTAGAGTTGTTGTATTGACTTCAGTCAATGCATCTTCATCGAGTAAAAATAATAACTCATCATTATTGAGACGCACAACGACTTGATTGCGCCTAGACACAATTATACTGACATTCATCGAAACCATACGAGCAGCAAACGTCTTGATAGCTGTTACTTTATTTCTAATGCCTTCCAATGGAACAGTGCGAATTTGAGATTCAAGTTGAAGAGAAACACTGGAATCAAATTTGATTGATTGTTCAGTTGGTATCACCTACATACGAATAAAAATGAACTAAACATTTTTTGGTTTTCTTTATTAGAAATTCAGACATACCAGATAGATGTATTCGCTATGGCCATTAAATGTATATGAAGTTCCATCAAGTGTCAAAAAATGAGGATCACCCCAAGTGCCACCGAATTGACCCATAGTATCACTACCGCGTTGAGATGGTCGATATTGAAAATATTTATTGCATGCTTCTATATCAGCTTCTAGTTTGCAACAAGCAAGTAGAGGAAGTACATCGTCAAATTGATGCTTCCAAAAAGTGTGGCCACTATGATAGCGGTCGTCACTTCCAGCACCTGTTCCTCTAGTTATAATATAGCCACCTCTGTTGTAACAGCATTCGCCACTAGTCCCATGTACATTTGACTGCACTGATCGAAAGCATGCAATGGCACTGTCCTCATTGAATTGTTGTCGACCTTGTTGAAACCAGCAATTAAACGATATGAATCCATCTTCTCGGCACATTGCATCAGGTTCATATTGAGCTCTTGCTACTTTGACTTGTCGAAGGGTATTCGGACAGGGTAGAAGGTTTTTATTCCATATTGAAGAATTCTCTTGAATTTGACTCCAACTATTGCAATTCATATTCGAATTAACTTGAATAGTTTTCATTGCTGTCTTGACTGTTTTATAAATTTTTTCTCCTCGATATATGACTATTGCAACACGGAACACTGCAATATGTACGCCTACATCAGGTACCATGCGTTGATGTGTTCGTGCCACATTAGCAAGATTTATTGTTTTGTTTTGGCGTCCAGTTTATGGCCGCATATCCGCCGCAATCATAATTACTTCTTTGACTTCGATGCCAACATCTGAATATGATGATCGATGTTGTGAACGGTTCCTCAGCTCGTTTGGCTTCAGTATTTCGTAGTCGATCTCAACTACTGCATCAGAAGGGAGTTCAGTCACATCCGCCTCAGAAAATTTCCATTCAAGTTCAATAGTGTCCTTCCAAATGACAAGCATTTCGGCTTTTTGCCATTTTTCCGTATGATGATTTCTTCTTTAGTCAACATATCATTTGTTGTTGGCATGTATGTAAAACGACCCGAATAATTGAATGAATTACCTTCACCAAAGGAAACGCTTAATTCGACAGTATCAGCATAAGCAGCGAGTAGTGACACACAGGTAGCTTGAAATTCATTCAGTATTAATCCTTTCGCGGTTCCGAATTTATCAAAGCGACATATGATATTTGAATTGTTTGATGAGAAGCAGGGGCCTTTCAAAGTGATTCCTATACATCTTAAAAGTAATACCATCGCCTGCATTAAAGCCTGCCTGGCCCATGAATTAGATTGATCTGGACTAGTCCATTGTAGATCATTGTAGAGAAAAAAAGCAAATCTTCGTGATTCATCTGTTGCTAGCACCATTTGAAAAGTATTGAGTTTATCAGTCTTGGAGTTATAGTATTCTACACGATACCACGTACCCACAATCACCATTGATGATTGGAAGTTTGTCTTACGAGGAAAATATTGTCCGACGAAAAACGTGACCTTATCAAGTACTGATGCAGCTAAATTGGTCGAATTTAAATCACGTCGAGTATAAACATGATGGTAAACACAATTGTCAGATGAATTTGTCGTGCTTCCTCTGGTGTCAATATCCGACCAGGACGGAGTAATCAAACGTTGATCATTGGCAATAGGAAACTCTATTGGGTTGTATGTCGAAATAGGACCCAAAAAGGAGAAAAGACCATTGTTAACTTGGTAGATTTGACGATGGTTATTATCAAAGTAAGGAAATAGATATGGTAATTGAATTGACCAATAACTTTCATCGTCATTTCTTGGAATACTTGTGTCACCCGCTGGAAAGCCGAATGGGAAAAAGTCATCAAGAGATTGAACTGCTTGACAGGAATGTTGTTGAATTATAATATGCAGCACCAGCAACAGAACGAGAGCAAGAGCTGTTCGACTCATCATCTCAGTTTCGATGCACACGCTTCAGACATCTCTACTATTACTTTTCTAGCTCACGAGAAGCGTCTATGTTGACTTTTGCTATAAAAATATTACTCAGATGTCTAATTCTTTATCAATATATACTCAACATGACAAACAATATTTATTACTGTGCTGTTTAGCTACTCATATTATCACGAGCTTCCTGTACCGTAAATACAACAGCGATATAATTATTCACTAGCTTATTGTTTGCATCCTCCGGATAAAATCAAAAATGTCATTGATGAGAACTTGGAAAAAAAACGAGTTTATGAATGACAAAAGTATCCGGTGAGATGTATGCGTCTTTGTTGGGAGTGTTTACAACTGACTGTATGATTCACAATCAGGTTATGTTAACTGAGAAGAAAAGAGTAGAATATCAATATTGACAGTAGTTATTGCTTAATGACACAGTAATTCAAAATAGTCTCCGAAAGTAAGAATTCCGATTAGATGCTTTTTTTTGAATTTTCGTCAGCTTTTTTTGTGATATGTGCAGAAGGTATTGAAGGCAATTGTGAAAAATCTTGTTTCCGCCTTTCGTTCGTGGCACACACACCAGTTACTATGATTTATGGTTTTTTTTTGTGGCTAGAAATGCGCGAAATTCAATATCAATGCTACATTTAAATTTCGATATCGAAACATAAAATCCTGATGTCAAGTCTCTCTATTTTTCTTCGATTTATACGATTGCGCGGTGTCCGATTTCTTCTAATCTTCAAAAAACTGACAATATTAGACGAAAATTGATATGAATGCTGACTTCTGTTCGTATTCCTTACCAATTCTAGTCAAATTTTGTTAGATGCCTTTAAAGACTACAAGAAATTGTATAGGACAAAAATAAACTGGATATTATTGATATCAATATTTGGTCAGATTACATCTAGAAATAGAAACTAGAGGAGGTATCCGAAAATCCAAATAAGGTATGGTATGAAAATTCCTTGTTCGCTATGAATGTTTTTTTTTGTAGAACTCTAGATGCTAAGTTTGTTCTCGGGATCGAATGTCATTTAAAAAAACAGGTTGACTCTTCCTCAATGAGCAAATTCAAGTTCTCTGTGCAAGTCTCAACTCTTGCTCTCCATTAATTGACCAGCAGCGGTGGACAATATCTAGCTAATTGTTATGAGAGGATGGATATTGGTGTTGAGTCTATAACTGCATATTTAGATTACTAAAGATCATCACACAACCCATCTTGACTTACATAAATATCCTATTGAGAAAACAAAATCCTGTATACAATGATGACGTTCAGTTTCAATTTTGAACGAAGATGAAAACATCAATCAATGTATGAAATCAGAATGAGTTGTATAGAAATCATGGTAGGCTGACATCGCGGCGGCCCTCCCAAAAAATATAGGAATTTCTATATAGGATAGGTCTAAAATAAATAGGATCGTCCTCAACTATATAAGAAAAAGATAGGGCGCAAATTTGTTCTAGAAAAAGATTTAGATGCCGACAAAACGCTGCAACAGCATTGAAGATGATAATGTGCTGTTTTTGCACGTATATCTAATGAGCCACATGAAAATATTATTGAGTTTCGAAAAATAACGGAGCAGCAACCCAGGTCGAGAAATCTCACACCGAATCCGATAAGAACTTGATATTATCCTACCATTCGACAGAATCTTATAGGATTCCGGGTTAAGGAACTGACGTCGAAACCACTGGCCAGAACCCGTTGAACTTCCAATGACACCCAACGGTGTTTATTTGGAATTCATAGGAATTTGACATTGATGGCCCAACTTTGAATCCGGAATCCGATGATAGTTCTGTAGGGCCCGACAAAATCCTACTGGATGCAAGTCGGATCGAATGGGTCCCGATTGGTTCCCACTATTGGATTGCTCGACCTAAGAAGATTTTCTTTAAACATGAAAAAAGTAATTTCGATTTATTTTCAACTATTGGACATATACATGCCATATAGGGTGTGAGATGTCTAGTTCGAATTCGAATATAAATGGACACCCAACTGAAATGGTATCTATTCGAAAATAAGTGATAGAAATAGATTTAGTTTAAGATGCAGTGCGTGTGGATTGAGGGGGACTAATGAGTAACTATGGGTGGCGGTGTGACTGAGGGGTGGGTAGAAGAGGTGCCCAGAAAAAGCGTGGATGTGGGTGTAGGAGTATATATGTATTCATATGCCGCATATATCGGAAAGTTAAACTAACACTAAATCTAGCAATAGATTTAGTTTTAGTTTTAATTTAACGTTTCCTTTTCTCCATTTATATTCGAACTCGAATTAGACAGCGACTATCACAACCCACATCCACCCAGACACCAATGATGTCAATGAGCTTCTGTTTTTATATGTTGTACAATGGCAGCCCAGCCTTGATTGCTACAATCAAGATCAGATGTGTTACATAAAGTACATTTAAACGTTGATATGTTCTCGCCTTGTTTTAACCATTTATTCATATTACGGCCTTCAGAGTCTGTTTTGGTCAACCAATGAGGACGAAACTTCGTATATTGTGGCATTAATATATAAGCATGAGTAAAATCAGGAAAATCAAGTTCAAAATTTGAATCTTTAAATAAAAGATGAAATCTAGAACCAGTTAAGAATAGTATTGACAAATGTAGATGAACATGTCTATTATGAGATAATCTTTGATAATGCAAAGATTGTACTATATACATTATCTAGATGAACCAATAGGAAATAAGCGCCATATAAATTGTTTCCGACAATTGATCGTTAATATCTACTTATTGTCACTGAGTCAGTGACAATATTTAAAAGACTCGTTGAACGCTTATCAAGAATTTTTGGTATTTTTCAGAAGAATCTTCAATCTTTTGAAAAAAATAGGAGTATAGGAAAAAAGTTCAAAATATAGTCTATTATAGGATCAATTTTTTAAATATAGGAAATAGATGATGTATAGTATTGCGGCGAAGCCAGATGGTAGGTTAGCAATACTTAGTAGTGTCGTTGATTGCGATGTTTTTCTATCTTTTCAATCAATGATATGCATAGTTTTTTGTGTTTTTAAAGACTCTAATTACGAAATAAGACAAAAAGTGCATTATATGTTGTGCTCATTTCAATGAATCGAAATGAGCTGCGTATATATTACGGTCCTACAGATTCTCTTTGGTTATTCTCGAATATGTAATTGTATTGATGGAAACTATAATTATTTCAAAGAAGTTCCTTCAATAGAGATATGCATAGTAAATATTTTTGTTTCTTTGTGTCTTATTATTTCCATTTCAAATCGTGCTGATCACAATTAGTTAGTATAATGACTTGGTTCTGACAAAAATTAAATAATTCCAAAATCGATTCGTATACTATTCCAAAAAGCGTTTATACATTTCTAAATCTATACAAGAATTAAGTAATTATATAATATTTAGTTTCGGTTCAGATAGATCTTCATTATGAAAAGGCATTGTTTTTATTTGTTATTGACAAATAAAACTAAATATCAAGATATCAACACAGGGAAATTAATACGTGAAATATGAAAAGTAAACAGGAGTTTGATTTTATTGAAATATGCTACCATTTTGTAATATGTTTAGAAGGTTGCCTAGATCAAATTTGTTTTAGTAATAATATACTAGAAATTTTCATTCTATGCACCATAACATGTGAACTGAGTTTTAATTTTTTCACTATCACGCACACAATAAAATACCATCGTTTGATTTTATAAAATCAAAAAAAAGAAAAACAGATATTTAGAAATCAAGATTTGAGATCTCATTAAACTATGACATATTACAATTGTAAAATCAATTGAACAACTGAAATACATTTAACCAGATGTCATACATATATTTCCCCCCTCTATTGTACAGAAGAGTTCCACTGTTTTCAATCACTCATCTTCATCGTCAGTTTTGTCTCTATACCACCATGGCCTTGGTTCTTGAGCTAATCGTTTCGTATCATGAGGTATGGTAAATTCCGGCGTACTCAGGAGATGTGATGAATAAAACCGATCTATTTGTTTTTCTTCAGTTAATTTTGTTTTATCAACAACAGCTATACGATTGAGATCTGGCATAAAATTACGTCTCAAATGATGCAACCAACAATTAATCAACGATGTAAATGGTTTGCCTATAATGCACAATGATAAAATAAATCCATCGTCAAGTTCATGTGCCGATGGAGGAATATATAAGCTAGCACCAGGTTGAAAAGGCGATCTTAGATCAGAAACTAACAAAAAACAAAAACAAAAAAAATAGGCCAAATATAAATCTTATTTATAGTAATTAGTTTGTTCTATACTATCTTACCATCATCTGTATTAAATTTTTCTAAATCTTTTTTCTTTTGCCAGTATTCAGGTGAAGGATCAGCTTTTAAAACATAATATTGTAATTGTTTTTTTCTTAAATAAACTCCATATGGTCCTTCAATATAAATAGGTTTATCGCTAGGTAGATTAGATGCTAATTTAGTTTGTTTTGGCGTATGTGTATAAATTAACCATGAGTGTTCGGCACCAGGATGTTCAACATTCGGTGAACTATCAGTTGCTGAATGTATATCAACTAGTTTTGTTTCTAAATCAACAGTTGAAGTCATACGTTGAAGTGCTAATTTTGCTAAAGTACGTTCATCATTCGGCAATTCCCATGGGATAGGATATGGGTTTTTATTCATAAATTTTGGTACCCAATAAAGAAAGCGTGCAAAACGTCGAACAGGATGCGCCCATGGGCCAAAAATTTCTCTTAACATATGTACAACTTCAAGATCAGGTGGAATACCATTAGATTCCATAGCTGATACAATAGTTGACGCTGTTTCATTTTGTTTTGGCCAAAAACGAACGGATACTTGTAACATAGATTGATGGCGGTAAGGACCAACAGGAAAGACCGATAGAAGTTTTTTATAGGATTCAGAATCACGTTCAACACCAAAATCTTTCATACGTCGAAGAGCAGCTCGAATGAATTCAACGTGACCACGACGATTTGGAAATTGAATTTTATAAGCTTCAATTACATCCTAAGAGGAAAAAATTTTCGTTCACACGAATTTATCAGAGTTGCGAAAAATCAATACATACAAGAAAAGCTTGTTTATTTTTTTTCTTAATATGTTCAGAATCGAATTGTCCGGTATGAAATGCTATTTGTTTTGATGATACATAGGGTCCGATCATCGAAACTATACTAGCTTCATCTTCTTGTGGTGTATTTTCATTTTGAGTCTTATCGGTAGTTCGATCTGACTCGCATTCTTCATCGGACCGAGGAGCAGTCGATGAAGCAAATATTCGATTTTGAAAAATAGGTATTCGACGAAAAAACAATGAAAATGATGGCTGTAGTCGAAGCAACATTTTTTACATTTTGAATAAATTCTATAGTGTGCTATACTATAATGTTTCTGTTCTCCCGATTGGCTTGACTTTTCATCAAGAATAATAATTTATATTACATTACCATGTCAATAGAGCTCGCTAGTAAACGGGAAGTTAATAATTCAATACATATAAATCTAATTAAATAAGATTAAATATGATCATAAAAATTTATTATTAATAATTTATTAACCAAACACGATTGACGATTAGTATCTTATTGAAATACTTCTGTATACACAATAAAATAAATGTATGATAAAAGTAATACACGTGGAAATAATTATTGTGTTACAAGAACTCCGACTCCGCCCGAGTTGAAGACAACAAAGCAGTTTTCTGAGATCAGTTATATTTTCTTTACAATCTCATAAAATTTTCAAATAAAAAAGAAGTTTTAATATGATAGTCCATCCAAATTTGAATTGATTGACATAATTCTATTATTTAAATATCCAGGAGAGTAACTCCTTTTTTACTCACTTTTCAATCGGGCTCCGCGCTGCTATCGAATGAGTCAACAGTTATATTGGAAGAATATTTCAAATTCTAAAGAAGCATATGATACTCTGTATTGCACCATGCCAATCTAATTTTTCATAGTTACAAACGGTAATGTTAAAAAGATAAAACGCGAAATAAACTTTCGATTGAGGAAAGAAGGCAATGACGAGTACAGAAACTACATAGACCCAAAATATACTTGAATTATGCAACTAACCGTGACAACAAAGATGCCATTTTCTTTAATTTTCGTTATGATGTTTAATAGGATCTATTCACTTACGAGGGAAGGTCACCAAGTGCTCAATCGCTTTCAAGTCACAACTATGTGTGTCATGTAGACCCCAGTGAGGTATGAAAAATTCCAAAAGGATAAGAGCGGATAGGCCTTCTGTCCAGAGTTATAGTCATTTTACTGAAATTT